CTTCTGTTTCGCTAATTCCATCGCATGCCGCCAATTATCATATTTATAAAACGGCCCTGTTCCATATTCAACCGTGGAAATTGCCAGCGAAACGAAGAGGAGCGTGATTAATTTTTAACCTTTTTTTTTTTTTTTCAATTCTAATTCTCAAAATACCGAAATATCGCAATTTTATTTAAAACACGCGGCAACGAGACTAAGAAATCGAAATTTTTGTTTTAGTAAATTTCGTATCACGAGGAAAGGAGAAATATAATTGGAGAGATAAACAAAGAGATAAATCTTTTAACGAAAAAGAAAAAAGAGAGAGGAAATCCTTTGATCGAAGTTAAAACGGCCAACGTTTACAAGACAAAAGCTCCTCGTCAAGATTTTATCGAGTTTTTCACGAGGAAGAAGAAAAAAAAAAAAAAAGATTAAAAGCGGTTTTACGAGCGATCCTTTGAAGATTGAAATTCTTCCACATCTGTTTATCTAAATTTAAAACGATCTTAACGAGACCGGAGCTGAAACAAGCTGGTTTTTCGTAAGACGCCTTGATTTCGTTACGTGGAAATAACGGTTTCAACCGTGATTCGCCGTGAAATTCGCCGTATGTAAAAGCATCCATCCTTTCGCCAGACGAGAAATCTCGTCAACGTAATTTCCATACTGTCGTGTTGCGCGCAATTTATAGCGTGAACCGATCCCCGAGCTATTTAAATTGGATCGGCCGGTAGTGTGTCGGTAAATGTGGATTATACTCGAGATTAATTCGTGAAAATACACTTATACGTGATGATATATATATATATACACGCGGCATGATCGACGATATACCCTCCCATTTGATAGAATACCGCGTTCTGTCTTTTATGCACGTTCCTGGAAGGGCAATTATTTGTCCAATTTATGTAATTCGATATTAATTCGCAGAGAAATCCAAAGATGATATATTGGAGGCTGCGTGTAATTTCCTGTATATCGAGGAATTTATATTTCCCAGCAAATACCAATAGCTTACATCTGAAATTGGAATGTATTATGGAACGTATTTTTAATAAAAAAATTTTATATTTCGCGGAAAATACCTCTCGTTTCAAATTTTTATGGAATATATATATATATGAAAAAAATATATATATATTTTTTTTAATTAATACGAGAAGCGAGACTAATTCTGTGAATAAAAGGAAGATTTAACTTTTGAATTTCTGTTTGAAAAGTTCAAATAAAAATTCAATGACTGTCCGACTTATAATAGGACTATTACCTGACCAATACTTTAATTTTTTATTTTATATCCTCCTTCCTCTAGAAAAATTGACACTGATCACAAATCAACGAATATTATCGGCTATCAATCGATGTCGATTCTGTCTCCGTATAGATCATAAAATACGAAGAATATCATATCGCAGGCAACATTTATCCAAATGAATGTACAAGCTAGTTTTCACTGGATTCTTACATCATAAGATATCACGTGTACAGAGCATCATCACAAGCTTTTTCATCACTTCCGAGTAAACGAAGCCGAATAAAAACCAACAACGAAGTCTCAAAAGTGCAAACCAATCACGCGGCTGGCTCGGATACGTAACTGCACCTGAAAATACACAATATTAATACAAATGAAATAAAAGATTCTCGAAAATTATCCAACCATCCTCTTCTTAATTAAACCTATATTCCCCCATCTTTCAATATCCACTACTATCTACTTCCTAGATAATCTTATCAATCCACTAATATTTATTTACATGCGACACGTATTCGTTTTGTAACAAATCCTGTTCAATAATTCAACTTGGTCGATCTACACCTACAAGAAAAAAAAAAACAAAACGTAAGAAGATTATTTATTTTTTCCCCTTGATTCCGAACTACCTGGTGTTATCTGGTGAAAAAAAAGAGAGAGATTCTAGTAGCACCAACCATCGAATCCATTCCAACGAATCGTAAATCCCAATCGGGGCTGGGATCGTAGGAAACGAGCCGCGCCAACTACGAGAAATCGGAGAGTTTCGTATATGCATTTCGGTGTACGAGTGTACAAATCCCCGCCCGAATCCCGCGGCTTTCGAACATTAATAAAACCGTTTTAAGCCGCAGCGAGTCTCGTCGTCGAGGATAACTCGAGATAATTGAAATCCACACCGAGTGCAACGTTGCAACGATAAACAAGATGGAGAGTAACAACGTGTCAACGGAGTGAAGGGAGAAGAATCGTCTGAAACTCGTGTGAAATTCAACGAGCCGTAATCACAATTTTCGAGGAGGAGGAGGAATTATCGCGATCAAATTATTACGCGGCGTGGAAATGTACGATTTTGGTAAGGCAGAGAGAAATTATCACGGTTAGTGGTAGAGGAAAGGGGAGGGGAGGGTCGCAAATCAAATCACGGTGGAGGAGCGAAAAGAATGCCATAATGTTCCGGAAAATGCGAGATTCGACGACGACGAGGATCCGTCGCATTTGTGATTTAATGAAACGTTGCACGACCGATATAACGAACGAGTATTTTGTTTGCGAAAGTTATGCGAACCAGAATTTTTCGAGAAATATCTTTGAAAATTCTTTTCCTGTTTGTGATAATATATACTTTGTCTCGGATTATATATAAACGTAGAGTATGATAGGGTGTGAATGAATGTATAAAATGACGACGAACGATTGAGGATCGACAGAGAAAGAGGGATCAGTTTAGAATCTTTGGAGAATCGAGAATTCGAGTGATTTCAGAAATATTGTTTCTAGAAAGGGAGGGATATATTCTAGAAAGAGAGAGCATGCGTATTATTCCTCCAATTTTTAATAATATACTTTTTTAACGAGACGATAAATATTTAAAATGATCTTTTAATTTCAATAAATGTATTCGCTCGATTAATTTCATTTACTTATCTAAAGTTCGAGCGAATCTTTGAGATAAAAGCGCAGCCAGAAAAGTGGAAAATCATCTTGGAGAGTCAAAATGATTTAAATTCGTAATACGCGTGACTCGTCCAGATTTCATAGGAATGTTATAATTAATTCTTCCTCTAAAGGGAACCTTATTAATATTTAATTCGACTTTACTAATACTACTCGATCGGAATCCATAAAGTGTTCATTAATATTCAATTCGTAATCGTGACTCTCCGATACTTCGTTTCCAAAGAGGATGCAACGATTTCGAAATTTGCAATTTCGCTTCACCCATCCGAACGAATTTCTGATATTTCTGTTTCAACGAATTTTTTTTCTTTTTTTTGCCCCAATTTAATCGATACGTACGAAATATAATATTTTTTTCGAAAATAAAATTGCACGCCATTTATTTAAAATATTGTATGTTATATTTAATCGAAATAATTATAATGATGAATTATAATTTCATTATTTCAAATTTATAGAAGAGTTGTCACTCCCGAGGAAAAATTTTTTTTTGAAAGTTTATTAGAATTTCGAAACAATTTATTCGTAAAAAAAAAAATTCAGAAAAATCGTACGAACTTTCTTGATTATTCGTAACCTTCGATCTCGTTAACGTATTATTTTACATTATAATAATTTTTTTCTTTTTTTAACGAGAAATTAATGACTACGAGGAAAAAACTTAATATTACGTTAACCTTCGTCGTTAACATTCATCCATTGGAAAAAATTTTCAAACGATATTAATAATTCTCATTTTTCAGAATCAACGTTTCTTCGAAATCACGTTGCGATTATCAATTCGAATAACACTCGAATGGGAACGAAATTTTGATTAATATTTCACCCCCTCCCCTTTCCTAAACAACTTAACCGATCAATCATCGTACGGATTCTATTTAATTCCACCGATATCGCGATTCGATTGTCACCGATGATCACCGATTCTGAATTGATGACGATGGGTGTACACAGCCCCCTCCCCGTTACGGGTCATTTGGTAAGGGATGGATACCAGAAAATCTGTCGTCTCGATTTCCAAGCGTGCGCCAACTTTCTCGTGAAAGGTAAGGACGTTAATAGAAGAGACATTTCCGGAATCGGTGACTCGAGAAGACTTGGACGAAACTTATTTCTCTCTTTCTCTCTTTATCCCTTCTTTTCTCTCCCCTCTTTTTATTCAACTTTTTACTCGTTCATCGATCAGTTTCGTGTCGCATTCTCTAATCAAACGATCGAACGAAGTAAATGGAACATTTATAAATATTTTACAATTAAAAAAAAAATAAATAAATAGAAGAGTATTTAAAGGGGAGATAGACGAATCTGTAGATAATTATTCTCTAGATTAAAAGAGCAAAGATGAAATAAATTTTCGATTTTATATCAACGAAATATTTCACTTTTGTTTCCCATTTCATTCCTGTTTCGTAATTCTCACTGGGAAATATTGGGAACGAGAAAGATCGAATAAATTCCACGATCTCGGATTTCAACGTGGACGTGCGTGGAACAAGCGATGGCCATCGGTGGTTAAACGATGCCGCAGATAGCGCGACTTTGCTCGTGTATCGCAAGAATGATACGCGTGACGGAGAAAAAGAATGGGGGCGAGGGTTTTACGAGGGTGAATATAAACGTTTGCGAACAGCCACGCAAATACCAAAAAGCAGATAGCGCGACCGTGGCGGAGATATAACGCGATCAGACCGCAACTTTTTTCCACGGAAAAAAGATTTTCTCATCCCCCTCCATCGTTTTATTTTCTTCCGTGACGCGACCCTTTTTAATCATCGTTATTACCGTGGAACGAGGAACGCGCTTTCCAGTCTAATTCTGTTATTACTCGAATTTCGGCCTTCCATCTTTCGCACTCTCGTCACGTTACAATTCTTATTTGTGATAAACGAATTTTTCCAGGATCGTTTAATCTAAAATATTTTCGCATCCATCGTTCGTGTCTTGAAGTGGTTTACTTGAAATCTACTCGAATTTTTTCGCATGTTTTCAAGCCAGAAAATCGATAAAAGAGTACGATGAAATAACGAATATATTCGCGGAGGGTATACATATTTTTTCCTCTTTCTCTTTTTACATCGAGATGCAACGCTATTACAAAGACAAACCGTCACGGCTCAAAAGAAAAAAAAGTATTAAACACGCTTGGGCGTTATCCGAGCAGATCGCGATGAGCAAATCGCATTTTGTACAGACTTTAATAAAATACTCCAAGCTGTACTGCAAGTACACGAAACTGGCAGGATTCAGATACTTCGTGGAGTCTAAAACAACGTGGTTCGACAGGTAATTAATTTCACACATTAACATTTACACGATACCTTCATGTAAAACGATCGATGCATCGATTGACGATATTAAAAAATATATATATATATATAATTCCACTTAAAAGAATAAAGTAGAACTTCTTGCCGCTGTTTTACACTTTAATGTAACACACCGTCCAACTTTCGCGCGAAACATTTTTCGCTGCGAATAATACTGAGAAAATCAAGATGTCAAAATCAGGCGAGACTGCGTATAACGTCTCGTGTCGACGAGAGAGCTTATTCCAGGTGTAAATATTTACAATTTACCGTGTATACCACCGTGTGTACCACGGTGCTTGTTTACTGAAATTCGCGCGCGATTCCACGGGGAGGAAGAAAGTTTCTCGCGCGATCGAGTTTTTTGAACCTCGAAATATATATATATTAGAAACGATATTTTTCAGAACTCTGTGGTTCCTGATGTACGCGGTCACGGTACCCGCCATGGTTTACATGGTTTACAACAGTTATCTGGAATTTATGGAGAATCCGTTGTTCACCAGCGTCGAAACCGAATACTTCCCGACACACGAATTGAATTTCCCGGGTAAGTTGAACGCGCTTTTGCGCAGTCGGCTTCAAAAAAATAATGTGACGCGGCGGAGAATCGAAAGATCGTTTGCGCCGATTGGCCCTGAAATCGGCCGAGAATCCCTCTGAGAATTGGGCAGTTAAAAATGGTTGAAAGCTTTCCAAAGTTACCGATTGTTGAAATTGTTTGAAAGCTTTATTTCAACCGTAACACACTCCTTTTATTTTTTATCCATTAACGATTTACGCCGCGTAAACGCAACACTTGTTTGCGATTCTTTTTTCCCACTCGATTCGCATTATTGCATCGTGTGTATGTGTGTGTGTTTTTTTTTACACTCCAGTCGTTGGAACCAGTTATTTCAAGAATTTTCCTCCTATTTTTTCTTTTTTTTATATTATTATCTGCGTTTATAGTATGCACAATTTTATGAAATTTAAAAACATTTGGAATTTTTTCCTTTAATTTATTTTAATTTCTATTATTTTGATACACATTCCTGTAAAAGTTTGTGCCAACTTTCACGCAATATTTATTTCGACCGTTTGATTTTTAACGAAAAAATATTTTTCGAAATTCTGATCTATTCGTAAATTCGAAATCCCTAGGAAAATCTAGAATTATTCTAATATCCGAAAAATATTTTTCCAGGGATAGCAATTTGCAGCGTGAACCGAATAAGTCGTCAATCGGCCACGAAATTAGCGAACGAAATGTAAGTATGATCGAATGATTCCCTTTTTTTTTCCCCCCCTGAGCCAAACAATTTCGAGATCCAGCTTGGTTAAGTTAATCGAACACGGGACAGCGGATAATTTTCAATTGCGGTTCTCCGAGTTACGTTTGGAATTGGCCCTCGTTCATAAACGAATCTCACCGCTATTTTCCCGCAATTCTCGAAAATTCTATTTCGCGCACGTTCCAAAATGCGGAAAATTCGCGTACGAGTTTCATCGCGTATTATGAGAAAACTTATCGCGCGGAAGTTATCGCGAGTCTATAGAAGCCAAATCAAGTTTAAACTTACGAATTTGCAACTTCGTTCGTTCCTCGAGTGGGAGGAGGTGGAAAAATTCTTACCAACTTTGAAGGTGAGGAATGATCGAGGGAACGAACGAAAGGGATGATGATATATATCTCTCCCCCGAAAAAAGATAAACATTTTACTTGAACATGCAGAAATTTCGTATCATCGGGAAATAATGGCCAGCTGGTATTTCCTCGATGAAAAGGAGAGGAGTTCGTTAAAAAAAGGGTTCGTATCCGCAAAAAAGCGTCCCTAATTAGCTTCGAATTTGCAAAAACCGGCCATTAATATTCAGTTAGCGAGGGTTACTTTAAATCCACGTTGAAAAAAATTCTCGTTAATATGCAATTCTATAACTGGTTCGATGTAACGAAAGATAAAGAGAGTGGGATAAAGATCGATCACCACGTCTATCAATATTGAAACAATATCGAGATTGTTTGGCTCGGTTATATTTTATATAACAGAAAAGATAAATATTTAACTCGATCCGTGCAATTTTATCCAAATCGAATTTGATATTAATATTTCCTTTCTTGTTAATCTTTCAAACGCAGGGAAATAGAATTTTTAATTTAATCTTAACAGTTTTCAGGGAGGATCGATCCATCGCTTCCCATCTATACATTTTATCATGTTTACTCAATCTCTCACGCTGACCACCATATCCGTGAAAATTTCCCGTCCAATTTAAAAAATTGCATCCACCCTTTGTACACATCGCACCACACTTTCCAAAGCCTCGTATAAATAAAAACTTCTCTCCAATTCTCTCTCTCTCTCTCTCTCTCTCATCTTCGCCATTAATCAAAATTAAAAATTAATTCAAGCTCCGCGGCCAATATCACCGATCTATCGCTCGACGAGATCTTGGAGGCGATCTTCCAGCTGGGCGATCTCTACGACTCCGAGTTCATGATGCAAAATACCTATCAAATCGATCAACTTCTCACGATCTTCTACAACGGTTCTTACAGCATCACCGAACTGATGAAACGAGTGAGCCCAATTATAACACACTATATATATATATATAATTAACAATTTATCTTTAACAGAATTTCTGTTCAATTATTACCGAATCCCTCTACGAACGTTTCAGTTAACGCCACAATGTTCCTCCATGCTGTCAAAGTGTCGGTTCCACGACGAGGAACGGAACTGTTCCGAGCTGTTCGAATTCCGCAAGACGCAGGACGGTTTCTGTTGCACGTTCAATTATGCCACCAAAGGGGACGATACGCATTTGTGAGTTTAACCAAACCCCTTCACTCACGCTCACTCATTCATTTCGCGCGAAATCCAACGAAATTTTCAATTTTTTCTTACTCCATTTCTCCTCACGGCGACGTGTTTCGTAGCACGAATAGTGAAAATGGAACGGACCATCGACTGGAGCCGATCAAGGTTGAAAATTTGACCGAGAGCGGTGGGCTGTCGGTGCTGTTGGAATCATCTCTTGACGATTACTTCTACCCTATTTTCCCCAGTGCCGAGTGGAAGGTAATTTTTCATCAGCTTGCGCGGAATATTTAATTCCAATTACAGTTTGCGTCTACGTCTTTAAGATATTCTTCTAACACTAAACGATGCTTAAAGGAATGCTTCTTTGCATTTTTTTCGTTCATCATTAAAGTTCTATCTTAAGATCAATCGTCGCAATAATGTTTCAAGAAAAATTGAGAATGGATTTGAACTGATGATAATCCAAAAATATTATCTCAACTATCATGAGAGTTAATGCATTATTCAATTTGTAATATAACGAAACGTGAGAGACAGATTAGTTAATTATTACGAAGAATACGGGGATCTTTCACGAATTGATATCAATGACGTAAATAAATTTCGAGGACGTCGTCGAAATCCGATCGGGTTTCATCGGTTTTTCGAAATAATTCTAGAGATCAGGGAGAAACGGATCGATCTTAATGAAACTGATGGAAATATGGGTCGTGGTCGCTCGTGACGATTATCTCGCGTGGCAGTCAAGGGTCGATGCATTATGCAAATTGCACTTTTTTTTCCCTCGCGAGCAACGATTCATCTACTGCCGTAAAATATATCACACGAATATTTCACGCGTCGCTGGTGGAATCCGTGGAAACCGTGAATTCTTTGTTATTCGTGAAATATTCTTCGAAGAATACACAATTTTGTTCGTCTTTATTGATTTCCCCCCCGCTCTTTTTCTTTAAAAATTAGATAAATTTGATGATTTTTCGGGGCCAGGTGACGATCTTCAATCCCCACGATTATCCAGACATGACTAGCGGAGGAGTAATCGACTTTCTGGTCTCGCCAAGGAAACACCGGAGCGTGGAATTAGAGGCAATCGTGTTCTACAGTATAAGGAGCATTATACCATATCCTCTTGAGAAACGAGACTGCGTGTTCCAGGATGAAATGACTTCCTTTCACATGTTTTACACTTACAGCGACTGCATCGTCGACTGCAAGATAGAGGACATATGGAACATTTGTAGATGCGTACCCTTCTTCTTGCCCAATCGAAGTAAGAATCATCAGAAGTGATTCATCACCATTTTTCGATTATCAAAGTTAAAAAGTTAATTTATCTTAATCGTTTCACTCAGAACGAAGATTAATTTGCATAATTTCTGAATCTTTTCATTTCGTCCGCCTTTTCATATTTGCTCCATTGTACACATTTACTCTTTCCATCCATTATTTATCTTGTCTACTATTTATTTTATTTATTTCAACTTTTAAAGTTAAATTTGAAACGAAGTTTCGTTTTAATCTTAATCCCTCCACTTGTTACCTTATTTAAACTTTACTTTCACACTCTTATCTTTCCAATTAAACGATAATCTTTATTCTGTATTTATTTCTCCTTTTGCTCTTTTAACAAAAATCACGCAAGGAATTTGTTTGCTCTTTCATTCACCTTTCCGTATTGTTTCACGAACCCTTTCTCGAATTCGACTATTTCAAAATTTTAATTCCTTAATCTGGAAAGAAAAAACAAACGCAGTCTTCCATTATTTAAACGCGCAATGTTTTAAAAGCGAAGATAATACCGCAAGAAAATGTTCAAAAGGTCCCTCCATCTTCTATTTTCACTTTCACCCCCGCGTCGAAATGAACCGCGGCTTTTGCCAGACATTAACGACTTCCTGTCTCTTCTTCTCCCGAGATTAGACGCCACGAGATTCGACTCATCTGTTGAGGAACGTGGTGCGCCGTGCTTTTGACTTCAACGGGGCTTAAAGTGTTAAAGCGGATCGCGCGAAACGCGGAAATAAGGGAGGAAGGGGCGGCGAATCCAGGCCTGGAATCTCGTTGAAATCGTTTATTTTCCTTCTTTATCTCTGTGAATCCTGAATACCCACGAAAAAATCTTCGTGTTCCCTATTTAACAAGGAAATTCATCTACTGGAAAATTTCAACCGATAAATCGTGTTATCATAATTTCTTTTCATGAAATTTTGAATATTAATTGTATATGGAATAATTTTTTTTAATTATTGTGGAATCTTTATCTCTTCGAGGGAATAAAATCAATCTTCAAAGTATTACCTTTATTCTTTTGAATTATTAAACTATAAATATATTTAAACTATAGATATATTCGGATTTTATTATGTCTTGTAAAAAATATTTCTAAATAAAATTATATACACGAAACAATGATAACAATTTCGTTCAAAAAGATTTTACTCGTGTATAACAAGGACTTGTGACTATCTGCATCTTTTAAAAATTATTATGAGACGGAGATAAAAATAAAAATTTCATTCTTAAGACCATCATCTTTATTCTTCCTCTTGAATATTTCTAAACTATTCATTATCATCAATCCAGTAACATAAAAATCAAAGAACGACGAATTTAATTGCCTTCTCCCCAAAATTTGTTTTTTATCTTTCCTGTTAACAAGGTATTCTCGAGACGATTTGCAAAGTTGCTACAATTTTACAAGCTTTGAGAGTGCACCTCCAAAGTTGAATTACTTTTAATATCGTTCCATTCAGAAACTTATCTTCACTTTAAACCGTTTCATCGAGTCACACCCATTTTAAACGACATTTCTCGAACAATTTACCCGAAAACGTCGAATAACGGATTTTAAAATCGTTTTAATATCGCGTGTTCCGTGACTGGAATATATCCTTGGTAGGGAATAATTTCATTAAGCATTGTCGCGTTGCAATTTTATTAATCTTCATCTCGGTCCTACCGTTACTTTCGTATCTCGCAATCGTGTTTCCTGAATAATTCAGCAATGAAGGTGACCAGGTAACTTTAAAATATTCACCCCTTCGTTCCAACATTTCCTATTTTTCCATGCTTTCACCATGAAAAATCGAATTGTTCCCTCGATCGCGTTTATAATGCGTCTGTTGCAATCCAAATTTATCGCCATTCTTGTTCGAAACAAATATTTTCACAGTTACTTTATAGTTTCCCTTCTTCGTTATTTTCCAGAATCGAGAAGGGTGTGCAACTTGGAGGACGTGCCTTGCTTGTCCAAGCATAAATGTAAGCCCTGTCGAAATTCTTTCGTGTTATCGAGATCAGGAAACAGGAACATTGAATTGTTCCAACCAATTATTGCGCTACTCTTTATAATTATTACAAAAATTATATATAATTTCTCTATACTCGTAAATTCACACTGTATCGTTTAAAATACACGAATTTTCTGATTGGAATATCATAATATCTTCAAATTATAGCTAAATGGTTCTCGGTCATACCGCACGAGAATCTGTACAATATCGAAGACGTGAAGGATATTCTGAGTTGCGGTAAATGCTATCCCGAATGCAACAGTGTAAATTACAATGCCAAGATATCTATAGCCGATTTGGAATCGAATCAACACGTCGCTGAATTATTGTGAGTGTATATATATATATATATATTCATTTTATATCGTTACGTTCGCTTTTACAAACGAATTATATTAATATATTCGAAGAAATAACGTGGACATCAAGGATCAATCGGTGCTAACAATATACTTCAGAAAGTATGGCACGATCAGATTGAGGCAAGACGTGATTTATCGTTGGTACGAACTCATGGGTAAGAATATTTTATCGTTCAAACAACCCGCGATATCCCTTTTCTCTTTTATTTTTTCACCATTGAAAAGTATCGATTGATTCGTCATAATTTAAAAATCCTCCAAATAAAATTATCGTACACATCATTTTTTATCCTCTCCATCCTTTGTCGTTCCGTCCAAAGAACAACATCTCTGCGTATACATCGTATATTCCTTCAAGAAAGAGGGCAAGAAATATTTATCAAAGGCTTCGATTTACATTGAAATTCTTAGCTCAACGTGTTGGAACACGATAAACGCTCGAGCCTAGGGGCAAACAACGGATAAGAAAAGATTTCGTGTTTGCGACATATGATAAACATTTTGGAGAAAGTTCAAGACAAGGGAAACGGAAAGAGAGAGTAAAGATCATAAAATACAGACGATTTCATTGTGTAACGAAGGGTTTGGCGCGCGAGAAGTTTCTTACCGGGGTGTAATCTGTTGGCCGGCTGCAGGGGAGGAAAATAAAAGAACGGGAAGGAACAATCCCTGCTACCGGGCTTGATCCATTGCGCTGTATATGTACACACTCTCTCTGATACCGGTTACAATGTAATGTAATGCACTCGGGATAAAGGACACACATTTTTCGTTAGTGAAAATCCACTCGCCCCTTTTCCTCGTTGGATACTAGAGAAACGACCCGACGACATATATGGAAAAAAACACGTAACCCGTGGAAATGCAAACATCATTTTTATCACGTGAAAATTCTTTCTTACCTTGCAAGCGTGATTGGAATTAGTATTATCATTATCGTGTTTGCCGAAGATGCGAATATGCCTTCCATTAAATTTTTTATATTTATAGGTATTTATAGGTAATGTATAGAAATAAAATTCCTTGAGATGTATGATACGAATAAAATAATACTTCGCACGTACCTTCTGAAACAAATAAAACGTGTCATTTCCAATAAATAAAATTACGCGTTGAATTTTCACAAAATTTAAATACCTGATCGCGGCCTGATCGTATTATGAAGAGGGTTGAAAATTTTGTAACATTATCCAGAATTTTTCTCTCTCTCTCTCTGTTTTCCTTTCCTTTTTTATATATTCTCCATCTTCCATCTCGAACATTTCCTTATTTAAATGTATTCTAATTCGATTCTCGTGGGGCGAGAAAGTAAGTTCGATCGACGTTTTACAGGTGACGCGAGCGGTATTTGCGGCATCTTCGTCGGTTTCAGCTTGATTTCGATCGTCGAGTTCGCTTATTTCGTCGGCCTGTTCATGCTCGAGCTTTTAAAGGGACCAACTTCGCCCGACGGGGACGGGAAACGGGCCGAGAGCAAACAGCCACCGATACACACGATTTATTGGGGTGACTTGTATTCGCGCACGAGAACTACGACAAAGAATCAACGTGATCGGGCTATTCGTGGTAAATATTAGCACGTTACACGATATTCTCTCCCAATTTCGTTTGAATAATGCCTCTTCGCGCCGTTCACTTCACGGTCAAATTCTATCCTATCTATCGAATTTTCGTAAAAAATGATTTGTAGATACATCGTCTCTGTCAACGTTTTAGCAATTCACGGATGAAAATCAAATTTTTTGTGAATTTTTCTTATACATTTTATATATATATTGTGTCATATGTCACGCTTTGTACGTTTATAGATTTATAGATTTTAAGATCGTATAATATATTAGAAATTTTAATATCTTAATATTAGACTTGTAAATTTTACTCTTCCTCGCATGTCCTGTTATATTTATTATAGTATAATAGTTCTTCATTGATTTTCTAAATTATAGGAATATTTTTTTCATGCCTTGATCCTAAATAATTTATTTATAGAATCCCTTTTTCGATGTCCTTTTATCGTTGGAACTTCTCTTGACGTGTCTTTCTTATAAAACTAAGTTCCATCACTGTTAGAATTTAAAGAATCCTTCTCGAATGACAGGATTGTTTCCTCGAATGTGAATATTCTTCCGTGTTCAGCGAACTCTAATAAGAAGATATCCCTAAAAGAATATTCTCTAGGATATAGGATGGAAAAAAATTTTTTCCCGTTACTCACGAAATATTATTTTCTCGATGAAATATTTTCCAACAAAATTTCTCCGATGAAAATGATATCGAATACGGTAATTGGATTGTATTTACTCGTTTAATAAACAAAGAAAAGAAATTATTATTACCAATTAATATCATGCTTGGCCTCAGTTTAATCAGAAAGAAGCCTCAAAATCGAAAAATAATTTTACCCTTGTATTAATATTATCCCACAGATATTTGATCTCGAATCTAATTATATTAAACTTTCATATTTTTCAACAGTGAGAATTAATAGGGAATTCGTACAAAAGAATAGAAATGAAGATACGTATTCTTCTAGAAAAATTAGCAAATCTCCAGATTTTTCCTTTCCACAATTTAGCAAAAAAAGAATTGAAAAATCCACATGAGAATAAATTGCATAAACTACCTTTCTAACGAGTCTTCAGATTCGTTTAAAGCGTTAAAGCTGATCTCATCAAGCGTGGCATATAAAGAAAGAAATACCCAATAAATTATAAATTATTTTTCGTCGTATCAATGACAAATACTTCATTATTGTTTACACGAAGAATTATTGTTAAATTTAATCAATGAAATAAACTTAACAATTAATGAATATTGGAGAGAAGGATGGGAAATAAATTTAAACAAAATTAATTGCTATCGATCGGAATAAATGTATGGTGACGCTTGATAAGGAGAAAAAGCAAATCGATAGAATGTACGACGCGTAAGGATAAAATATTGGTATGAATATCACATTTATTCGATGACTCCTAATGTTTAAATCATATTTATCGGATTAATCGAAAAATTGTTAAATCAAACGGAACAAAAAAAGTGACGTTTTTATGAACGCAACATATTATCATCGCAATACTTGCCTAGGTATTATATCATTGATATAATTTCACGGAATGATATGTAAATACGATATATCGTTAAAATTGGATGAAATATCAACAATTGAATTTCTTTCGACTTATATTGATCAGAAAATATTGATAACGGAATAAATTACTAAAAGAAAAAAAAAAAAAGAAAAGAAAAAAGAAATAGCTTACACTCTCACGAATTATATAACCAATATATTAGAAACATATGTATCTCTAATTTTGCAATTTTTATTTTTACAAAGTGGATTAAAGAAAACGTTAAACAATTTCATTCGATCAATTCCTTTCATCATCAATATCAATCTCTGTTTTACGTTTAAAGGCAGAAATGGGGCATGCTCGATTGCTATCAAAGCCACTAGTATGCTTCACGGATTAAAAGCTCAAAGTCGACGCCTTTTCGATACCATCCATTTGTACTATTACGAGGCTTTGCTTCCACCCATTGTGATGAAACTCAATCATTCGAACGTGCTCGAGGTTTCGAAATGATCGACTTGTGCCGTCCACCACTGGCGAAGATGAAATTCACCGTGAACAAGCGATCCACCCAAGTGAATTATTGCCGCTGATCCGAAAGATTCGGCCTGCTGCTTCGTCGAAATTCATATTACCTTAATTGTTCCCTTTTTAGATCACTCTTTTTGGAAGATCGAAAGAATGTGCATTAATATCCATTAACAATATCCACTATTTGTTTTAATGATCCTTTGATGAAAGGCAAAAGCAGACCTCTTTCTTTCAAGATACAATCTAATTCGTGCAGGATCGCTCTTTCGTTGAGAAAATATCGACTGCGTAACTATCTTCTAATTATTTTCTCAAGGAATATTGGGATATTCAATTTTCATAAAAAGTATCTGTAAATTTTCAATAATATCGAAGAAGATAGATAAATTAGATCTTTGTTTCCGCTTTGACATCCTGTTCCCACGAATATTGCTCCTAATTATATTTCTGCCAATGAATTTTCGAAATGAGACGAACGAATGAAGAGAATACTGAGGACACGAGCATGTAGGATTTGTTTTCTGGAAGCGTAATATGATAACTGCACACACATTAATATCCACTATTTGTTTTAATGATTCTTTGATGCAAAAGCAGATGATCTTTTTCTTTCAAGATACAATCTAATTCGTGCAGGATCGCTCTTTCGTTGAGAAAATATCGACTGCGTAACTATCTTCTAATTATTCTCTCAAGGAATATTGGGATATTCAATTTTCATAAAAAGTATCTGTAAATTTTCAATAATATCGAATGGACGAAGAAGACAGACCAAGATAAATAAATTAAATCTTTGTTTCCGCTTTGACATCCTGGTCCCACGAATATTGCTCCTAATTATATTTCTGCCAATGAATTTTCGAAATGAGACGAACGAATGAAGAGAATACTGGGGACACGAGCATGTAGGATTTGTTTTCTGGAAGCGTAATAACAATGATAACTGCACACAGTTACGTCACGATCTCACAAAGCGGCGCCACGCCACAAAGGTTCATCGTGGAAATACGCAGTTCCCGTTCTATATGAATTATAACCCTCTCCCCTCCTCCCATGGATCTAATGCCAGCCACGGAAGCCTAGGCAACGCAGTTATAGGAAACAAAGCGTTATTAATTATTGAAACGAGCTTTGCTTTGATTCGTGCTACTGTGGCCAGAATAGGCGTGCAAGCTTTTAATTTTACACGCGTTTATTCGAATCGGATTGACGGATAATCAACACGTGAATCCGTAGAAGAAGAAGAAGATATTGTAATATCTTGAGTGATATAAAGTAAATGACACGATTTATTTTTCAAATTCATCATAACTGCCAATCGTGTTTCGTTCGTAGATGTTTCTCCAATCAAGATAATATGACACGACATAAACTTTCAACTAAAGTTATTACAATATCGACAAAAGTGATATATTTAATAGAAAAAAATACAACGAAACAAAAATTAATAAAAGAATAAACTATCCTTCTTCATCCCTGCTCCGTATATATATGTAAGACACACGAATCAATGAAAGTTACGTCTTAACATAGAAATAGAGCAATCAGATTTTATATATTATCGGCAACAAAGAAACGATTAATCAAAGACGAGAAACACAATCTCTCTCTCTCTCTCTTTCTCTTCGAATCGGATATCAGTAGAATTTAATTACGCGATAAAACAAGGTTACGAAACGTTAAATGAATGAAACGGCGAGTAAACGTAGCAGGGTTAGTGAAACGACGCGTAATATCTTGGCAAACAATTGCGAATAAATTTCTCAACCGAAGAGAAGCTTGTTCCTTCGCGAATGAATTTCAACAGAAACTCGCGAAATTGTTACTCGCGAAAGGAATAATTCTACAGAGGAATAATTCTGCTACTAGGAGGGGCGAGGGGGTAAACGGAGGGAAACGGTAGATTTCTACCTACCCTCCCCGATGTTCTGTACGTATCGACGATACGAGAGGCGAGATTTAGAGAGGAGGGAAAAGGGAACAAGTGTGGTGATTCGATTAACGTCGTGTAAACTTGATCTATTTTACGCGAACACCTCGGCTCGTTCCATCCCGTGTCAGGGTTGCTTGGTTCGGGTCGAAGTCGCACGTGCACAGGCGAGCTTGTATTATATATTCACGAACCGGATGGATCGGTGAACCACGCATTTTCATAACGGCACACGTACGCAACACGCCAGATTGCCGCGTGCTCGAAACGATAGAGCGTGAGATAGTCGAGGGCTGAATTAGCGACTAAACTGGCAGCACCCGGGTCGGCCAGGATCATTCCAGTCACGAACCTGACATCTGATGAGGTCCCGAAGTTTTATGGCCTTAATAATCGGTTATCAAGGGCAAATTCAAGGCTAACGCGTCGAGCGGCTGATTCCAGTCACTTGTTGAACGTGATTTATTATTTCATTCGATGGTTTTTAGGCTTTTCAAGATGGTTTTTCGAATACTACTGCGAAATCGCGTTGTAGAATCTGTGGAAAATTATTATTGTTATTAATAGAAATTATTAATGGAATTAATAAGAAGATCGGATTTTATCCTTAATTTCCTTGAAATTTTTTTATAACTATCTTATCTTCTTTCCTTACGTTAAAATGGTCTTCGACCAGTATTGGCAAGCGGTTATAAAATCAATTTATCTATCAAAGAAAAACATCGATATTTGAATCGACGATACATTGAATTCAATCTTGGAAACGGATTAACTAAAAAAAAAAAAAAAAACATCTCTGCGAAACAGGAAAAACAAGGATCGTAAAGTTAGAACAATAAATGCGTTTCGAAGCTTGATGTACAATCGCAATTCGTACCTTTCCAGCAATAACGAACAACTGACCGTGCGTGAGATAAGTGGAGCGTATCCGTAATTAAATGGTTTAAGATACGCGATCTTTTCCACGAATCGTTTCCGTGCGACACGTGTAACACGCGGAACGAGGTCGTGGCTGTTTTACGATTCTAATCGAGAAACGAAGTGGCGTTCCAATCGTTGTGGAAATTCCACCACAGTGGAATTCGATCGTAATTGTTGCAATCAAACTTGCAACCCCTTTTTTTCCATTCATCGACGTACACGCGTTATTTTTCGTAAATAGATTTCGTCGTGTATTGTTTTTTTTTTCTTACATTTAGAAAATAAAAAAAAAAGAAAAAAACAACCGTGAACAGAATTAACATCTGCATCGATATCGGGAATACCTTCGTAATCGAGCGTAACCTCGTTTCAATTTCACTTTGTTCTCCCTCCGTGTTTATTTCCATCGTATTTTTTATACAAGCGCATACACCTTGGGTATTCAGCCATATAAATTCGAATTTTTCATTCACGCTACCCTTAACTCCGTCGCGTTTCTTCCACCTCCAACACGGATTCCACGGATTATATACATATATTTTCCAGATTCATCTCTCTAATTAACAATTAGCTGCAATTCTCGTGGAATAACAAGTTAAATACGTTTGTTCTTTCTCCTCATTTGCATTACAACATTCACGTCGACCAGCGATACGCGAAGACGCTCGACTCGCGAACGAACGAAATGAAAGAGAATTCTCTACGAGCATTTTGGATTAATGGGAGGAAAAATTTTATAAAGATATGAATGTGTGAATGAAATATCGGTTGATTTGTATCGCGAATATAACAGCATGTCTGGCGTTTAAGTGCCTCGTGAAAGATGAAGCAGCCTGGAGGGTTCCGTGAAGGGTAAGTGAAATTCGTGGTGTTTCGAGTAATCACGTGTAATCGCATTAAGAAATTACGTTTCGTGTACACGCGATAAAACGTGTACAGAATTTCGAGTAATCGAAGGATTATCTGTTCGACTAATTTGATCGTACGCCGAGATACCCGCCGTTAAATACACGCTTTACCTTCATTACATATTCAGTTTATTCTTCGACGCGGGCAACACAATTTTCCAAGATCTTGATCCCTTTTCCTTGCTTTAACTTGTGTGTATACCGTGTATCCTATAATGGAAATTTACAATGTATTTTCGAACTGGATGGTACGATCTCAAAGATAAATTTATTACGAAAAGATAATCGAAAATCGGAAAAATAAATCGAAATAAATTTTGCAAATTCGTTTTAGATTTATTTATAAATAAAGGTATTCGTTGGTGAATCTTCAGCATGAAGGAAATATAGATACTACGTTTTACTATATTTTTGATTTACATAGTTCTGTATGTACATATATCGATCCTCTTTCTATTTTATAGTTTCTATATTATAGTTTGGAAATATTCTATACATATAATTTTGCGAGAAAGAACGTAGATAGACTGTTATTTATGAAAATAATATCCAAGTTATCTACGTTTATTATGGTGAATTTATTTGGAACGCAAGCACCCGGATTAAGAAAAACTTCTCCGAAGAAATGTTATTCATTGGAAAACTTCGAGGCAAGTTAACCATAAATTCTAACGAATCTAATTCGAATCTATTGATGTTGTTTTAAGAGTTGAGTTAGAAAATAGAATTTATGAAAGATTGAAA